AATTACGAGAAAGTCGTAATGTGAGAAAAAGTTGTAATATTTTGAAAAAAGTTGTAATGTGAGAAAAAAGTCGTAATATTTTGAGAAAAAGTTGTCGTAATGCAAGAATAAAGTTGTTATATTAGGAGAATAAAGTCGTTATATTACAAGAATAAAGTCGTAATATTGTGAGAAAAAAGTCGTAATGTGAGAAAAAAGTTGTAATATTTTGAGAAAAAGTTGTAATATTGTGAGAAAAAAGTCGTAATATTATGAGAAAATTAAGTCGTAATATTATGAGGAAAAAAAGTCGTAATGTTACGAGAAAGTCGTAATATTGTGAGAAAAAAAGTCGTAATGTTTTGAGAAAAAGTCGTTAATGTGAGAAAAAAGTAATGTTTTGAGAAAAAGTCGTAATATTGTGAGGAAAAAAGTCGTAATATTACGAGAAAATTAAGTTGAAATATGAGAAAAGTCGTAATGTTACGAGAAAAGTCATATTACGAAAATAAAGTCGGAATATTACGAGAAAAAAGTCAATATTACGGGAAAAAGGTCGTAACGTTACGAGAATTAAGTGATAATATTATTACCAGAATTAAGTCGTAATATTATGAGAAAAAAAGTTGTGATATTATGACAGTCTTTAATTTTAGAATATTACGACTTTATTCTCATATTATGACTTTATTTTCATACGATATTAATGTAGTATTATGACTTTATTCTCGTAGTTTAAAAAAAAATCTCGTGTGGCTGTAATACTTGGTCGTAGCTTCATTCTTTGCTACATACAGACTGAGAAAACCGGTTTTTCACTTCACCACAGTGTGGTAGAAAAACAAACAGACAGAATAAAACTTGTAAAAATAAATCTAAATTATTAGAGCGAAATAATGTGATTATGTGGACCTGTGGAGACCTGCTGTTGTCTCTGCTGGAGTGAAACTCACAGATTTTATTTTATTCTTTTTTTTGTAGTAAACAAGCTTAATTGAAGGAAGTGATGGTGGCGACTCGGTGTGTTGAAACGTTGCTCTTGATTGGCTTTTTGTCTGAAAAGGAAGCGATTTGACTGAAACCTCCTCTATGAGGAAATCTCTTCACTGCCATTTTAAACAGAGCTGCTTCCTTCCAGTAAAAAAAACATTTTAGAAGCTCGTTTAACATCAGCGCACTTAATTTCAAACCTTTTTCTGAGTCGGAGTTTTCACCGTCACTGAAGAACGTCAGGCTGCTGGGTACTAAATTTAGAAACAGATCAGGTTTTTTTAATTTTTATTTAAATTATACATTTCCAATAAGAAGCTGCCGCTCTGACTTGTTCTAAATGGTGTCGGGACAGACGAGGGAAAATCTCTTTGAAAAATGCTTCTGTTTAAAAAAGGCAGCAGTTTTTCCTGAACTTACTAATAGGATGCTGTGTGGCTAAACACAAACTTCTGATCAGAAGAATAAATGAAAGATGAGAGGATGGAGGTAATCAGGACCCTCTGATCACTTCCTGTCTCTGGAGCATTTTTTGCTTAAATGAATATTTCAGCATCAGTTTCTCTCCCATCACGACCTTAAACACGACCTCTTCACCTCGCCAGCTTTCTGCTGCTCGTGGGTCTTCATGCTGCTGGTTTGATCAGTAGACGGAGGCCTGGGGTGTCCAGCTAACTGCCTGTTCGGAAAGAGAGAAAAATTAATGCTTGCGCAAATATAAAATAATTGAAAGTAGAGTCCTTATGATGCATTCTGCAAAATGTTTTAGAACTTTTTTAAATGACAGAAAATGCATATTATTGCAGTGGTTCATGACATATAACACACACCTGGTGATCTAAAACAAAACAACGGCGTGAATCACATTAAAGTGTCTGTGACATCAAATTTTTTGTGAAAAATGTGAATGCACTTTTGAAAAGTTAACATTGATAACGTGTTGCGAAAGACATTTCACCTCACTGAGACGAACAGTTGTTGAGATGTTTGCATGTGAAGTAACAGGAAGTGATGTCAAAGGGGAGTGTCTGAATGTAAATACAGCTAACAACACAGACAGCAGGGACTCTTCTGATGTTTCTTTAGATCATTTTGAGTCCCTATAAGAGACATGAAGAGAGTTCAAATAATATTGTTTTAATAAACAAAGACCAGGGTGAGAGTTCCCCTTTGATGTCACTTCCTGTTTCACTTTGGCTGAGCCAAGTTCAAAAGAAAACCTGCCAGTTTTGTGACAAAACGAGTTAAATTGTGTGTTTTATGCCAGGTTTCCTAAACATGAAGATGTTTTGTTTTTTTGTATTTGAAGGATAGGCGTGTCACAGGCACTTTAAAGTCAAGTCATTTTGTTTATTTGGCTCTAAAATAATACAAGTTGAGTATTTTGTTTATATAAAGTGATTTTTTTTATTGTTTACTCAAGCAGTCTGTGACTTTACATCAGGATTTAATTTGAAAACAAAACGGTTCCTGTTTGAGTCTGAAGAAGTTCTGAGTTTATTCAGGACGTTTTGGACCGACCCTCCCCCCCAACAGATCCTTCTC